CACACACACACACACACACTCACACACACACACACACACACACACCCCTCCCTCTCTGGCTAAGAAGAGCTTTATAAGAAGGTGTTAAGCTCTTTAACTAGCTGCTTTCTCTCAATTTTTCAACATACCCTCACCACTGGGGAATTTAACTGGGTCTTGTCTTCACTAGAAGGAATCCTGCTTAAACACCCTTCTTCACAGTGAGTTTGAAGACACAATCCTGGCCAAGTGTCAAAGAGGACAAGTTGTGCTCAGCCCTGTCCTCCATCGGCATGCATAAAGCATAGCCTTTACATCATAACTAATGACATGAAGCCACACACGAGGAAGACTTGTCCTCATCTGGACTGACCAGTCAGAATCATGTCACTTGTCCTGCTCTTTTAAAATAGGAATCTCAAATTCAAGTTTCCTAGTAGAGGAAGGCTCACAGCAAGCAAGTCAGATTTTCCAGCTCCCAGGCCAAGACAAGCTGGCAGCAACACGAGCATTACTTTGCAAAAGGAGAATTCTGGCTTTCTCCCAGCAGACACACGTGACACTTGTGACCAGCCATCCTGGAAAGCAACTGCTCACCTCTCTTGACTCGGGGGGTCGTACACACAGACTAAGGAAAGGAATATGAAGTCAGAGAGCACGCCACCGCATCCGAAACTATAGGGTGGGTGAACTGATGGTCTCCCACTGGCCTGCCAAAAGCAGCAGCACCTCGTTCTTCCCAGCTTAAAGAAACAGGATGAAGGAAGCTTCTAATAAGGCAACTGGTTGGGCCTTTTTAGGGAGTGTAGTTTTCAGTCAAAAGTTGCCCCCTGAGCAGATTTGCTCCTGTTGCACGTTTTAATTGTGATCAACCCTTGTTTGCATCAAGCATGTCATTACAGATCTCAAAAGGTTTTCCACAGATGGGTAGAGCATGAATTGAAGGCATCTGCCCAGCAACCCAGCGACACTGTCCCAGCCTGTGCTTTTCCACCTTGCTCATGTTTGAATGGAGGAACAAGCGAGTATTAACTTCAGTGACCCTCTGAGGGAACATCTCCTTCCCTCGCTACTGCAAATGCCTCCAGAAAATGAAGTGCTTTTCCAGAAAGGGCTCGTTTCCAATCTACCCCGTCAAGGCAAAGAGCGAATCTCATGTTCCCACACTTGCTACCCTAGATATCAAAGCATCATCCTTCTGGGCAACAAGAGAGTGCCCCCAAATTCATTCACAACTAGAGCTGCTGGCCTTTGCAGGTTCTGTGCATTTTTTTGCCCCATAGTAAATGAAAGCTTAACCCACAGGAACGTATCCCCTTTCATTGAGGGTTCAACTGTCATGGGTTGGTTACCTTCCATTTACCCCAGGGTAAGAATGGGTAGTCAGTAAATCCCCACAAGCTTTCACTGCACATTAAGTTGCTTGTGCTTGCACTAACAGTGTAACATCCACAGGAACGCACTTGTCCTCACCCTGCTAAGCACAACTAGATTGCACCGATCCAAGCCCACTTCTTTCCTTAGTGAGAACCTCCACCCTCGAGCTGAATGTACTTTAACTTACGACCACAATCCCCACCCCAATACCTGCTCCATCTTTAACTGTCCCAAGCGTCCCCCAGTAGACAAGCCCCAAACTACTGTATCTCAGCAGGGCTGCATGTTCCTACTGCGTCCTATTTACCAGCCATCTACACAACGAAGAGACAAGAGTCCTTCCTAACCTACAGACACAGCCAACCTTAAAACGATTACATCGGACCCTGCACAGCACAGAGAAAACACAGTCATTTCAATGAAATTATTTTAACTTGATCACCCACCCATTTATCCCTTTAGCCTATCAGATAAATAGAGGGTCATTAACACAATTAGCAAAAGATTAGCAGAAGATTCCAAAAAAACCCCAACCCTCATCTTTCAAAATCTCTCACAAGCCTTTAATAACTCAATTTTTTTAAAATCCCACTAGTTACAATCACGGATTCAATTTGTGTTTTTGCTCAGGGCTTAATGTGAGCATAGGACCGGTGAGAGGTGTCAAAATGATAGCTCTCAAGACAGATGTCTCCCATTTATCTACTTAAGAGCTAGCAGCCTGAGCAGAGGCAGCGCGTGTCTCTGGGAGTAGCAGGGCCTTTGTTTCTCATCTCACTAATCCTTGGTTTCTCTGCTGTGACCAGAACAAGGATAACCTAGGTAACGAACCGTGCTCCCCAATTCTTTTCACGCAGGCCACCAACCAGCTGTCAAAGGAGTAACTTTTGTCTCTGTCTGCCTAGGACGGAGAAAAAGCCCTGTCCCCAGGGAGGGGCACGGCCCCATAGCCACTCCTATTCCCTGAGCTGTCTAGACATCATTTGTCTACATTTTACTTACTGGCATAGCTGCAAAAGTGTGCAAGTGTTAATGTTCCATCTGCAACCCTGGCCAGGTGTACACTACAGAGCGCTGGCACACAGCTTCCCAGCTAGGAACATAGGGAAAAACAAAAGAGAAAGAAAAAAAAAAAAGAGACAGACACATGTGCACACTCACACACACACACACACACACACACACACACACACACACTGAGGATAGAAAAGTGCTTCTGTTGGCTTTGTTTTCTGCAGGGATCTCCTTTATTGGACCAACTGTATATAGCAACACGTCCAGAGGTGTAACAAGGTGGGTTGGCGCCCTGGGCATACCCTGCCGGATGCGAGCGGGGAGGGAAGAGTGGCAGGAAGGTGCTGCTCGGTGCCAGAGGAGCAGGGCTTCCGAGAGCAGGTGGAGCGAGAGTCTTACCTGCGCTGGGGACTCAAAAAAAAATTTAAAAATCAGTCCATGACATGGCCTGCCCACTCTGGCTATCACTCCTACAGCAGCAACGTGGTGTCCGTGCACCCAGCTGCTGCAAAAGCAACACTGTGGAGCTGCTTCTGCCATGGACACTTGTGGGGTGGGGGCACATCTCTGTTGCACCTACTCAGTTTGCACCCAGGGCTGGTCCCTGCTCGCCTACCCCAAGTTACACTACAGAACACCCCAGCCCTCCTACTTCGCCAGCTTTGCTGTTCTGGGAAGTGGTGGCACGGTGCTGGTGTATCCTGCATGTTCAGGGGGCTCTGCCAACCTCACTTCTGCAGCAGAGACTTTCCTAGTGTAGACAGGCCCATAGTAGCAATTCAATAGTGACAGTGGGAAAGCCTTTGGTCTAAAGTTTCATCAGGACAGGAGTGGTACCCCCTTCTGAATCTCTTGGGTATAGTGGAGTGGTTTGATACAGCTCATTGCTGCTTGGTTAGATTTTGCCACAGAATAACCTGTTTCAGCAACCACAGGCTTGTAACGAGATGCCCAAAGATTTCAATGATGTCTTTAGACGCCCACATAGGTGGAGGGTGTTCTTCCAAAGATCTCAAAGCTACATAATTGACCTAAGCAGCTGATGAGAACAGATGAGCACAGTTCCTAGTGCTGTACTTTCTAGTTCAACTTGAGTGGGAAACGTAAGTATAACCTCTCCTATGAATTCTTGGTTGAGACTTGGCCTGGGATCAGAAGTACAGAGACAATAGCTTCATTGCTGGAACAAAGTGAGCCTCCAACTAAGTCAAGACCAAGGTAAGTTTCAGGTCACCTCTGCTGCCTGCACCACTTTGCCTATCAAGCCTTTCCATCAGCTAATTCATTCATTACCATTAAATTAATTAGCACCAGGTTTTCCCTAGTAGGCTGGACTGCCCAGAACGTATAAAGCTGCTGCATATGATTGGTGCCTTCAGGAGCAGGTGTGCGCTGAGCCTGGTTTATACAAGTATCCTCAACAAACTACTAACCATCTGCAGTACTTAATAGCTCTGTGCACCTGGGTGTCTAAAGGCACATGCTGCATTGAGCTGTCTTTTCTTACAACACTGCTGATAATAGCTGTGAAGCATGCACTGCAACGGAGACAGAAGCTATATAGTGAACTCACGGACACTGTGAGTTCAGTTTGGCAAGCACAGAGACAGCATCCAATATGGAAAGTCTTCTCTATACCTAGAATCTACTGATCGCCAAAGCTGGCTTAACCACCTCACTCCAAAACCAACCTTTAAATCAGAGAGCACTAAAAACTCAGAGCTACCAACATTCACAGGGAAGAAGCATCTCCAATTGCTCACACCCAATATGCAGAAACTTCATTAGAAGTGGTTTAGTGAACCCCTTAAAAAGGAGCACCGACTTCCTACCATCATCCTCTTAACCAGACCCAGTGTTGCATGCTCAGTGCTGTACAAAACGACATAAGAGGGCTACCGGCTCTCCCCTGGAGAACGCATTAGGCACAGGCCATTAGGATTACAAAGGCAAAAGTTCACCCTTCCATCCAATATGACTTATGGAGACAAGCATTTGAGAAAAAAGGCATTTTTCACAACTTCATGTAGGCTATAACATTAAACTGCTGTATGCAAGACAGCTGTTGTATTCCTTCCCAGAGGTGGTTGCATCTCAGTTGCGGCTGAAGCAATAATCCCTGGTTAGGCTTACTCCCCATCCCTAGGGAAGGTGCTGGGTAAAGTTAAGAGCCACAAAGAGGTTGGAGACCTGTAAATAAGAAACACTACAGCTGTGTCATTTATAAGACTGATTTTTCTGGACCAGTAACTGGAACGGATTCCCTGTAAAGATAAAAAAAGAGGGAGGAGATGGATTATGAGGGAAAAGCAGGAAAATAAAGCAAGCGGCACTATTATATAAACAGCAGAGAGTTGTCCATTGGCAGGTCTCAGAAGGAATGTGGTCCCAAATTGTTGGGTGGGTTACAAGGTCTTCTACAAATGTTCAGATTCAAACCTCTGTGGCCCTGCTCCTCCCTTGCTCTTGTGTGCTGGACTGGGATGAGGTTTCATCTCTATAGAGCAGAAGGGATGAATTTGCAGCACCCAGACTCCAAGTCTTTAATATTTGCTGCGTGCAAAGCAGAAGAAAAGATTTCCCCCCCACTAAACTAGCAAAACAGCCAGAGAGGGAAGTAAGGCATTTACCTAATCGTGTGCTCAAAATAGATATCGTCCACGGAAGCTGTGACGCAGGGGCAGCCAGCGTGTCTCTCGGCTAGAAAGGAAAAACAAACCGCGTCAGTGCCTACAGCAATGCACCAGACAACTGGGCTGCTTGTGTCTCGGCAGGTCCTGGCTGGGCACGAGTAGCCTGGGTCTCTGCACTGGGCTCTGTTTAGTGCTCGATCCTATCGACTCACCGCGTCCAGAACACAGAGCTCCCTCTGTGCAGAGGGTCACCATGGGTTACTCGGAGAAGATGCTCGTTCCTTCTTTCCTCAGCCAAAGACTGCGTGCGTCTAACATCACCCAGCACACAGACTATCAGTCTGATCTCTCCAGTCACATAACGTGAACCCAGTTCACTTGAACAGGATCAAAATTAAAGGAGCAGACATCGGTGTTACATTCCCCTCCCTCCCCCGTCAGAAATGAACATTGGTACAGATAAAGAGCGATACCATTTATATCAGCTATTTAAAAACTGTCCTCAAAGGGTGTCCTCATTTCTCTACACTTCCATCTGTCACTGGAACGTGTATTCACCCCCTGCACCGCTGTTACGGCCTTTTTGGCGATGCCTTTGCTATGCATATTGGAAATTGCAGAGTTGTTTCTTGTGGCAAGAAGATCTCCCAGTATACCGGTTCTATGAGCTCCGTTTTTTTCGAAGCATGATCTCACAAATGGGAAAGCCAGTGGCACGATGCTGCTTATCACCCAAAAAGCTATTTAAAAATCAAAGCAGCGCTTTGTAGACTGAATGCTTCATTTGATGAAGCGTGACTATGGGCAGACCCCCCAGTGCCAGGTTTTCGCTAGGAACGAAATTGCACACAACGGACCAAGCCCGAAAAAGAGGATTGAAAGAAGAGTGCTGACACAGCCACTGCAAGGGCCACGCGAACACTGTGCTATGACAGCCGGACCCTGTAGACAAATAGCAACCTCCTGAACTATCACATCTACCTCTCGTAAGCACAAGGCGGCAGTGACTTCACTTGGATCCTACCAGTTTTCTATGGCAGGCCTTATTCAATTTTTTCCATGATGGGGAGCACTTTATAGGACAGATCCTTTCCATAGACCCACCTCCCAAACCATCAATATCTGCAGCACAAGGACTTTCACTCCAATACGGAGTGTCAATGCAGCAAATTAAGGTGTCCCCCTGCCCGGTGTGCTACAGCTCAGGAGAAACAGCTCGACACTAGAGCCCTAGCACTAGCCGCTATCTGTTAAGTGCTGGTCTGTCTTTGATTAGCTATTCCACCCTAGTCCCAGCCTGATCATTACACCCAGGTGCTATTCATTTGCTAGGTATTCACTTGAAAGGGCACAGCTGTCTCAGGAAAACTTTTGAAATCTGGTATAGAAAAGGTCATCGTTTAAGATAGCCTCTCCCTCCCCCCTGCCACTTGCAACCACAGTCCCTTCTCTATCACCTTTTGCTTTTTATAAGAACTTTTTATTACGATGATGCAAAACCTCTCCCCTCAGGTAGTAAAGGCCAGTTCTCAGCTCTGCTGCTTTCTAGGATCATTGACCCTGCTATAAAAGGGGGAATTTGGGGGAGGGGGCTTCATTTTGTAGACAATGGAGAGATTCTTCCAAAGACAGCAACCTGCAATCTTGTAGCATAGCTTAAATGGTTGACAGATCCAAGTTCCCCAGCTGCCACTGACCCTCTGTGTCTACAACTACGGGCAAGTTGCTTCCTTTCTCCTGTGCCTCACCTCCCTTCGTAAACAGGGATTGCTGCTTCCCTGCTTCTCGGGTGCCGGGAGACGCTAGAATTTGTTAAAGTGTGCAAGATGTTGGGAAACAAAAACAGAGACATGTCAGACAACATCTCTAAATAATTAAGGAACAGTTTCCTCCACACATGGAGTGCACTTGTGGAGTAGGCTGCTTACAAAGGACCCATAAAAATTTAAGTGATGGGAGCAAAGAATGAGCTGAGATCAGTTCTTCCTGGGAACTGTTACCCCACATGCCATCAAAACCACACAGAACAGAAACGCCTACGCAGAGACCTCCGCAAGAGCTTAGCAATGTTTAGAGCTGGATTATACCATGTACTGCAAGACACGCTGTAGGGCAAGACTCCGTAGGAGCCAGGAGATGGACTGGAGCTTTCTAATAGCAGGGATGAATCTGACAGCTCGTTTCTGCAAGCGCTGTCTGCAGATTCCCTTCGCAGGTGAAGCTCTCCCTGCTATAGGAGTTTTATCTATTGAAGTATTAACAAGGACTAGCCTTTCATGAGTATCGTTAAGGATGTCTCTTCTCAGCGGTGCCTTCTCTGTCACACCCTGGGTTCATTGCAGAGAGGGTTGAGCTGACTTGAATTAGATAGGCAGGAAGGAGGAGGAGAATGGCAGAGAAAGATCTTGCGGTTTAGGGACCCACATGGCAAGAGGTAGGATAGCACAGGGCTGCCCCATGGCACTGGACAGACAGTACTGAAGCATCTCAGGGTGCAGACACACCTTGCAGTCACCTGAGTAGGCACAAGGCCCCTCACAGGAGGTGCTGTCACAGCACCAACCCACTAAGCAGCAGCGGAGCTGGTTTGCACAGAGCAAAGGACAACCCTGGGTGCAGGAAAACCAGAATAAGGGAGCAGACACATAGCCCCTCCGCAGCATGCCTCTGCTTCACCTCTGCACCAACCCACCCCAGGGCATTAGGGTGCATCATGAAACCTGGGATGCAGGGGACTCATTTTTGCCAGATGCTTTTGGAAAGCCCAGGAAAGCAGCAGCCAAGGCCCACGGTGATCCCAGCCCTGGTGCTATGGTTCAAAGCCTCACGCCCATGGGCGACTGGTGCCTCCTGAGTCTAGGGGGGCACCAGCGGGGCACAACCGGGGCACCAACACTCTCATGGGGGGCACATACCCCCCCATACCCCCCCTACATGTCGCCTATGTTCACACCCCACCTCACCCTCTCCCCCTGGCCCGGCTTACCAGACAGGCAGGCTGCAGTGTCGATCCACTTGAGCAGCTGCCCAACACCAAGCTGGCCACAGTGGTTGGTGTGGCAGGGCAGCACCATCTGGCTCATCTGCACCTCCGTGGGGTTGCGCGTCTCCGTCCCACGCTGCATGATGCGCTGGGGTCCTGCTCCGTCCGGGCCGCAATGCAGCACAGCAGCCTGGCGGGACAGTGAAGTGATGAGCCTCGCATTAGGGACCAGGCGCTGAACTCCTTGGATGTGCTGTTCCCCCTCCCACAACATACGCAATCCCTGCCCAGGGGCAGCCTCTCCTTTCCTCCTCTCAGGGCTGGGCAGGGGACACCCCTGACACTGCTCTGCCCCTGCTCAAGTCTTGGGGCAGAAGAAAATTCCCCTGGCAGGGGAATAAAGCAGCTCTCTGCTGAGCTAGAGTAGATGGGGGAAGAAAGGGGGGATTTGGGGAGACTCAGGGCATCTGACACCCATGTCCCACTGAAGAGGAGTCGCCCACAGTGCAGCCACCCGGCCCCTGTAAAGACCTTCATGCCCAAGTCTGGATCCTCCTCGTGCCCTGGCTGTTTGGGGCAAAGCCCCACTTCAGTGGCTAAGCACAGCACCTTAGGGGCAGGTCTGGGCGAGCGAGGAAAGGGGACAGCGCCCAGCACAGAACCGAGTCCAGCACTGAACCGTTCTCAACCCCAAAGCCCTCAGGGTCCAAGCCGACAGGCACCGGCGAGTCCTACACATCGGATCCTCAGGGCTCCTAGAGATGAGTCGAAGCCAGAAGGCGTGGCTTGGTCTGAACTCCAGCATCCTCAGAGTTTGGGAATAGGCGATGCCTAGGGGAGCATTGATCCTGGCCCAGCTGTCGCTACCAGTCAGAAGAGCAGCCCAGAAACACCGTTTCATTTCTCCCAGGGGGAATTTTGACAAAACAAAACACCAAATGCCTCTATTCAAAATGGCACCGATGCCCCATGGCGGCAGTCGTTTCATGACGCTGCACAGCAAGGGACTCCAGTGACTTTCCTCCTCTCCTCACCAAGGGCAGAGCAAGTGGCGCTTCAGGGCAGCTGTGGTCCCGCCTTGGAGCCCAGTCCATAAATGCCACTGGAAGGGGAAAGCACCCACAACCAGCTTCACAGGCTTAAAGGACCATCAGATCCTCCAATCTGATCTGATAACGCCCTGCGAGACAGACTTCACCCATGCTAAGCCCAGTAGCGTGGGTTAAGCTACTGCATTTTATTCTTTGTGGGACTAAACTGCCGTGTGCTACAGGGAGGCCAGAAAGGCCAATGTGTCACCGCAGCCCATGACCCTGAGAAATGGCAGGGAATGGACTCAATGAGATATGTCCCCACTCCCCATGACCCCTGCAAACACTGTGGCAGAATCCCACAAGTCCTCCGCTCCGAGGCACCACAGCACCACTTTGAACTGCTCTCCCGGCTTGACCAACATATTTTGGTTTCCAGCACAGGGATGTTTCCTCCAGGAAGAAGACACTTCTCAAAAAAATAAAGTTCGGTTTTTTGTCCAAAAATAATTCAATGGATAATTATTTTGATAGGGAATATTTGATCCACTCTACCTGAAAGGCCGCAAGAGCAGGGCATGCTTTCCAGATCTCGGGCAGCTTGCAGGATAGTCTGATAGAGCAGTCAGGGATTAAATAAGGACACTACATTGCCTCTTCCTTGTCTCCAACCAAATTTAGACAGCGACAGCCACAGTCCAAGAATTAAACATATTTATGCTTGCTCTGTATGGTACTCGAGTCCCCTCCACTCTTTGAAGCGTGGCACACTCCACACCTTTGGTAAATATTAGTGCGTTGCTATTCTCTCCGACTCGCCCACTTTTCAGAATTCGGTATTTTACTGGCTCGATTATCCACAGATAAAAGTCCTTCCTGTTTTCCCTGCCTGTCTGTATGCACTGACTTTATGAAAACTGAAAGGCTTTTGACTTCTGAAGCCAAATTTGTTCCTGGGTGTAATTCCAATTAAAGGATACTAACCTTTAAAAAATGGGCCATTTCTCTAAAAGCGATTTACCTGTTACAGGTGACGCTGAAGTTTTCTAGTAAGGGCGGGGGGAGGAAAAGCCTCATTTTAAGTGTACTTTATGCATCTAGCCAGTTCTTCCTGAGGCTTCCTGCCCTCTGTTCTGTTTGGTGAAAAAAAAGGAGAGATAGGCAATTGAGACTGTGGACACATGCACACGCTAGGAGCAGGGTCAGTCATTTTTTGAAGCTGGTTAGATTTCAAGTTGATCAGGCCCCTTTTAGACAGCAGAGTTACAACCAGGGATGAACCTGACCCCAATAAGTACCCGACCAAGCACTGGACTCTAATCTGCGTTTGGTTCCTAATCTTTCTTCCTCTCTAGGCGCATCTACACGAGACACTTACTATGCAGCATAGACAGGCCTCAACTTACACTGTTTCGAGTTACAACGTTTTGCACTTACAACGTTTATAAATTGGCACCGTTTCAACTTTCTGACACCAGTTTCACCCTTACAACGCTTGATCCGATGTGACGCCACACCAGCGAACAAGTTGGCTGCGTCGCCCATCTCCCTGGAGAACGTCTGTCCAAACTTCCTTGGACACTTTCTTTAAGAAAGCGAAGAGACTCCAGAAAAACCTGCAGCCAAGACTCCTGGGAAGACTCCAGCCAAGAGCCCTTCAAAAAGTCCAGCAAAGTCACCGCAAGGAAGTCTTTCCAAACCAATATGATTGCTATTTACAATATACATATATTAATGTAGCTATATTACTCATCTATAATTGATCGAGTACAAAATTCTTGGGTATTTTTGGTGAAAATAGGGTATCAGGCCTTGGTTCACAGGAACCAATCCCCCATTTATAACATTGTTTCTTATGAGAAAATTGGTTCCGAGTTGCAACGTTTTGATTTAAGATGCTGTTTTCAGGAACCAACTGTGTCGTAAGTCTGAGGACTGCTTGTAGCCTAATACTGCACATTTGCATGCCGGTCAAAAAGCATGCTAATACACGGCTGCATAGTAACTGCACTTACTGTGCATTTAGTTAGTACTTCATTAAGCAAATACTAAACTAAATGTACAGTAACTACCGGGCATTAATACATGTGTAGACACACCCTCTCTGACCTAGCAGTGTCTCCTATTTATAACCAGGGATCCTGGTTTTAGCAGATTTAAAAAAAAAAAAAAAATTTCAGATTAAAAAGTGCATGCGTGTATGTGCGCGCCCGCGTGTGCGTGCATGTGTATGTTTTAGTGGCGTTTCATTTTCATGGAAAAGTGACACGGAAAACTGTGGATTTGGGGTTACTTTCTTGAATCCAAAAATTGGGGATTTTTTTTTTTAAATCAGAGAAAACCAGGATCCCTGTTTATAACACTTATGGCAGGGTCCTTATGGCAGCCGCTTCTCTTCCCTTTGGTCAGCTAACAGCATTTTAAATGGTTTTAGTCTCCAAATTAAGCGGTCTCTGTTGAAAATGCCCCAGTCCCCGGCTCAGCACAGCCAAATTCTGCTCAGCTTCTCAGAAGAGCATTTTGCTCTTGCTTTGCTAACAGGAGAGCTGCGTTTCCATAGCTACTGTTACACGACATTCCAGAAATGGTACGAACCTCAGGTTAGCAGCGACTACAATGCATGTGTCAAGTAAATCATATTAAAATCATCCCATCGCCCAGTGAAATGGAATCCAGGTCATGCGTTAGCCCAAGAGAACTGCACGGGAACCACTCTCAACAAGGCACCAGCCACACGTGTGATGGCATGAAGACTTCAGCCTTTCAACTCTTGGCAGAAGCTTTTTTTCAGAAGCCTGCTAGCCCACTTGATGGTTTTCCAATATCCCCAGTATGCAAGGGGAGAGCTATTTTTAGAAGCTGTCTGTCTCTGTCATAGTTGCAAACCAGCAAATCAATCATCCTCCAAGACTTCTGCTGGAAAGCAAGCGGCGTGTGTCTGCACTGCGCCTCTCCCGGTTGGGTCTCTGGTTTTCTGTAACTGGCTTCAGGGACTCGGCTAGGCTGATTGCCCATCGGGACCAAGAATTAAATATCCTAATCTGCAGGACCCCAATCCAGCATTGGACTGGCCAGGTGCACGATGGGGAAGTCTGTACTGCTGGTATTGGTTATAGCCAGAGGCAGGACCCAGGATTTGAGCCAATGGTCTGCTTCTGTTCAACAACGCCCACGATCCTGATATTTTAAATAAGCCATCTACAATCACATGGCATTTATCTGCTGTGCCAGGAGAGAGGAATCCCAGTGATTAAATTACAGCGTGATGTTTACTGCGCAGGCAAAGGCTTATTAGCAGACACCAAAGCAGCAGAGCCCAGCAAAAAGGAAGCTGGATGCCACTGCCAGCCGAGTGGGAGATCAACTCAGTGGCTGCAGTATTTATCCATCACTTTTTGATGGCACCGGGGCACAGGCAAAATTGTCTGGATTAAAAAAGGATGCTCAAAACCAAACTCTAAGGTTTGAGAGACACCAGTTAAACTCCCTGCTCCCCTCTCCCCAGCTCACATCCATCGTTCTCTACTTTTGCAGGCCACCCAGTGCCAAGAAGCTAGAGTGGCACAAAAAAGCATGAGAAAGGCTGTTCTTGTTTTCTTTCTAGCCCTTCTGAAAGCAGGAAGCACAGGGACTCTCAACCCAGACTGATCACATGATATCTCCAAACCCAAGAGCTTTTTGAAAAGAATCTAGGTCAGGCTATTCTAACTCAGGTACCTCAAGTTAGGCCCTGGAATAAGTGGCCTGATTTGCAGAGATACTGAACACCTGCAGCTCCACTTGAAATCAGTGCAAGTTGCAGTTGCCCAGTGTTTCTAAAGAAATCAAGCCACTTACTCTTGTATTGCAGTTTGGGACCTGAGCTTGAAAGCTTGAATGCATGCGTATTCATGCCCAAACACAGAGTCCGGTCCTAAGCTGTAGCTACCCAACACCAAAGATTTGGGGTGCTAATGTGTAGGTTCATCAGTGAACTGATGCTTGTTATGTTCACCCACTAATTGCATTTGCTCCAATATGGTGACCAGAATCTTTAAGTAGGATTCAGTTTGCTGCTTTAGCTAATTTACTGATGTATTTTGGGTGGGGGGGTTGGATATGCTCAGCCTTAGACTTAAGCAAAAAGATATTCTTTAAGCAAGCTATGCCCAGGAGTGGT